ATACACCATTAGAGTTAACATAACCATCAATGCCTACTCTAACTCATCTCGAATTTAGTTGACTCCATCTAGTTTCCTGAATGGTTTCAATTTTGCTCAAAAGATAAAGTTTGAATTGAAGCCTCAAGTCATTGATAATTTGTTGAATGCAGGAGAAGACAATGTCATTGCCTAAAATAATATCTTTAGAATATACTTACTTGCATTTAGCTTTTCACATATTTCAACAGGCTTAGCCAAAAAATTTTTGCTAGTGTAATCTTCTTATAGACGGGTTGTCTGCTTCATTTTTAGCATTTCAAATTATTCAATCCTACCCATAGAGAGAAAAGAAATTATTATGGTTGGTAGAACTGACTAATTTTTCCCAAACTTAATTGGCTTTCTTATAATCATGTAAGATATGAATAGAAAAGTTATGAGAGTTACAACTAAAAGGGCAAGTATGTTGCTGAAGAGTATTTCCATTGGAAAGTGTGAAATTGATTTAGAAACAATTCCATGCAACTTTTTAAAAAAAGTATTTAATTTTTTTTATAAGTTGGCCATTTCCAAAATTTGGACCTGATATTTGAGTGTCTCTGAATTTGATGAGTCTCTATAACTTTATAAGTAGATTTGATCTAAAAAGTTATTATCAGAAGAAGGCCTCCAAACAAGAATGTTGCCTTCACCATTCCGAAGGTTGCATAAGAGCAATATGCTCAATTGCATTAAAATGGAGATATCATCTTATAATATCAAAATTCCAACCACTCACAGGCTTACAGGAATTCAAGACTCTAGCATGTAGAATAAGTTCAATGTCATGTAAAGCGTGCTTCACAAGAGGGTCAAGTAGGAAAGTACACTTATCATACCAAAAAGATATTTGATCTCCTTTTCCAGCTTTCCAACCAATGCAAGACATGAATTTATCCCAATTTTTCAATATACTATTCTATGTACAGGAACAAGAATTCAATTTAACAACTTTTAAGAATTGTGAGTTTGCTGCAACTATATTTATCACGAGGACCCGCACTCAGACAATGGTTTGACAATGAGACCCCAATAAAGTTTCATAATAAAAAAATATTTTAATTCTTGAGCTTTTTGAAGCCAACAACCCTAACTTTTTTTTTGGGTCCAAACCCTCATTGCAGCGTTTATTTTTATTGACGAATTGATGAACTATGAATAATTAAATAATTTTCACATTGATTTGTGGGATTCAAGTTGTTGTCAGCGCCAAGGCCCTAATGGCTGCTGATGCCAACGTTGGCTCCGACAACGATGGTGGATGATGTTTTTTTTTTTTAAAAAAAAGAAGGAAAGGCATTTTGATAATTCACTAATAAAATATAGGTAAAAATACATAAAATCCCTCCAAAATTTGAGATAGTTGTATATAATTTTTTTCACACTTAAAAATTTAAAATTAACCCCCTAATTTTTAATTTTGTCTTTCAAAACTCCCTATTGTGTTATTTTTTCATGAGGGTTCAAATATCATTTAAATAAAAAATATTATTAAACAAAAATATATTGCATAACTATTTATAATAAATTTTTTATATTTTTTGAATAGTTGAAGTATTGATAACAAAAAAAATATTATTATCACTGTATAAAAATTTAAATATTTATATTTATATTAGTTTTATTCATGTTTTTTTGTTATCAATGGTGCATGATTTTATTATTTTAAAAGATAAATTTTTATTTATTTTTCATGTTAGATTAATATAATGCACATGGCTAAAATATTTAAAATTTTATGCAGTGATAATAAGATTTTTTTGTTATCAATGCCCAACTATCCAAAAAAAAATATAAACTTTATTATAAATAGTTATACAATATTATATTTTTGTTTAATAATATTTTTTAATTGAATGACATTTTAATCCTTGAAAAAAAATATAATTAACAACGGGGAATTTGGAAAAATAAAATTAAATATTAGGGGGTTAATTTTAAACTTTTAAAGATAAGGAGAGTTATATGTAACTATCTCAAAGTTTAGGGGGTTTATGCATTTTAGCCTAAAATATATTTTCAATTCAATACCTAAATTTTATTGTATTCTGTATTCTATAATTTTTACATGTTGATTTCTTCTGTCCGAGGTCATTAAGCTGAGATTCTCTCTTGATTATATTGTTCATTCTCAATTCACGTTTAGAATTCATTAATTGATTTCCCAAATCTAATTTAATGCATTAAGAATTCATTACTTGTTAATAAAACTGGCGCAGCCCATGCAATGCTTAGTATATACTTGTTCATAATCTTGCATTTTTTTACAAAATATCAATAAACACAAAACAAGTAGTCAGCATTTATGTACTAATACACTTGATTAGTTGATTCATATATTCAAATGGAACACTAAAAGTAATACTCTCCCGTTAAGAAATACAATGTATAATTTGGAGTGATTTTTTATTATCAAATGCTACTTCCGTTAATTATTATAAGACATTTTTTGAAGTATCATGTTTTAAAATAAAAAGTATTTTGAACTTTTAAGATATAATTAATATTGTTTTCTTAAATATCCCTTAATTAGAAGGGTAATTAATAAACATTAAATTAAATAAGAATAAATATAGAAAGAATGTATAATTTTTAATATCATTAATGAATCATTGAACAGTACTATAAATTAGTTAAAAATGTTTCAAAATGCAGAAATTATATAATCCAACAGATAATGCACAGTCCTTTGCATATTTAAGTAATATCTTTTCAAAAAAGTTCTTAAAAATTAGAGTTATCAATTAGGGCCAGCTCGGCCTTAAAGGGTCAGCCCTTGAAGGGCTAGGGCCTAAACAGGCTGGCTCTAATTAGCCCGATTGTATGTCAGGGTTTCATTTTATAAGACCTGGCCCTAGCCCTTAGGGCTAAAGGGCCGACCCTTAGGGCCTCAACCTTATTTTTTTTTAAATTATTTTTTTGATTTAAAATTATAAAAAAAATATATTTATAATCATAAAAAAAGTTATTATACATAAAATTAAGTTTAAGAAAATAAATTTAAATTAATTTACACCACAACAATAAAGAAAACTAAAATATTTAGGTCTAATATCAAATAGCAATGAATACCAATAAAAATTAAACTTAGCTAATATTATCATCTAAATCTTAATAAATAAAAAAGGGATGGATGAGTACATTTAATATATTCATTTATTTGAGTTATATATTTAATATTTTATTTTTTATATTATAATTTTTTTAAAAAATTATAAAAGAGCTTAAAAGGGCCGGCCCTTTTATTTTCAGGCTTAAAAGGGCTGATGCTTTTATTTTCAGGTTTAAAAGGACTGACCCGATAGGCTCGATCCTAATTGACAGCTCTACTGAAAATACTCAAAATTATTGAACAAATTATGATTTTTTATTTTCCAACGCATGTGGGGCATAGGTGGAATCAAACTAAAATTGTTGGAGATACAAATTTTAACTTTGTATAGTAGCAACTTAGTGCCTGTTTGAATTTTAATTAGGTATAATAAATTATAACAATAATTAATTAAGTAATAAATTTTAATTATAATTGATTATGTTATAACGTAATCTGTTTGGATACTGTTTTTTACAATTAATTTTAATAGAATTAAAGATATTTAAATAATTTATTCAGAATTAATTTTAATTATATAAATTATCATAAAAGACATTACTTTTAAAATTAAATTATTGATAAATTTTTATATAATATTATTAAATTTTTTAAATTTTATTTAAAAAGTAAAATATATTATTTAAATTATATATCTGATTAATTATAAAAATTTAAATTAGATTAATATTAACAATTTTAATTTACGTAAATGAATAACTTAATATATCTTAATTCAAATCAATTTAATAAAAGACAAAGATTTAATTTTTAAATACCAAAATTAATTTTACAATAACTAATAAAAATGATAATATATAAATTAATTTTAATGATATTATGAATATGAGCCATATCTGACGAAAATGTTAAATACTGTCTTAAAATTTTGACAATATAAAAAATGTAGCAATGCTATAAATGATGTAAAATCTCTCTCTATGAACCTTTACAACAATACTTATCATGACTCTAAATTTTAAATTAATTTTCATCTACTAATTAATATTTTATTTAAATTAATTTTATAATAAGTATTAAGTGAAGGGTGATAATTGACAAAAATTTATGCTAACAACTTTTTTAAAAATACAAAGTTTGAATTTTATTTATAAAAAAACAGAGAGAAGAGAAGAGAGTTTAATTTTATTTTTTATTAAATTATGTTTTTTCTTTATATTTTTTTTAGTTTTTCTTTGTAATTTTCTCCAATGCTTTTTGGTAAGCTTCCCTGCAAAAGCTTGGATTCTCATCTTTCAGGAAAAAATTAAATTTTGGGCCCAAAAATGAATTAACCCATTTTATGGGTGTTTGGATAATTTTGGTTTTTAATCAATCTTTTTCTCAAATAATCAATTAAAAACGCTATCTAAACACACCCTTATAATTTAGGACGGAAGAGTACTTTCCCCAAATTAACATGTTAATTGCACACATCAATGCATACAACCAATTACCCCTCCCATTCTTATTACAAGATGCTTCAGGCATTCACAAATTTATTTGTCAGCGAGCATTCAAATACTCCAATCATACACATATTCATCTATTTTAAGCCTTGGCTCAAATCACGCGACTACTATTAATATCCTAAGAATAAAAAGAGAAATTCAGTCAAGCTTTTGAGCTTTAACACAACACCATTTAAATTAGACCATCTTAGAAAAACCTATATATGACCAGAGGGAATAGCTTCCTTTGCAAAACTTTTACCTAAATGACGTGTCAATTTTTTATTAAAAACATACTCTACAAAAACCAACACACTTATTATAAATGATTAACTAATTTCCATAATCCAAATAAATTATCTAACTACCACAATTAGAATTGTAAGGAGTACTATTTTTTAGTGAAAACTTGGCCAGTATCAAATATTCACACCCTCTTCGCCAAAATTCCTCCATTGAGACATAGTAAAAGAGTTAATCCAATGGAATCTTTACCCGCTTAGATCCCATAATAGTAAATAAACAAAAAATAAATTAACAATCATAGTTCCCTGGTAGAAATCTGATTACACAATAAAAGGCCCCACTCAGATGTTACGCCGGCATTCGAAGTAAATGAAAAACAACGGACAGATGAACACTAAAATAGAGCAGATGCCATCCGAAACATCATGAAAGAAGTTGCAATCTCTTGTGAAAACGGTACAAGGCACAAAAACAACAGCACCATCGATGACCCAAAATTTTAATTGTAATTAGATTCAAAGCTCAACAAGAATCTCGAGGATCTTCAGCCACGTCAAAATGAAACGTCAGTTCAACTGTTATCAGTCTGGCAAAATTTGCTCACCGTCAGCATCTGCCTCGGTCTCAACCTTGGGCTTTGATGGAGCCTGGCCAGATCCAGGAGCCTGCTTCTTCTTGATTCCACTCACTATATCATCAATTCTCAGGAGCATGCAAGCAGCTTCAATGGCGGTCTTAAATGTTTGTGCCTTTACATTGTAGGCATCCCAGATCTAGCACCATATTAACAATACATGTAACATTGACACACAATGCTTTACCAAGACAACCCAAAGGGGCAAGGGTGTCCAAATATGAAAAAAAAAATATGTCAAGCTTTAATGTTGGGGAGGACCCCCAGGGAGGTGCATAGGTCCTTTATACTGTCGCACATTTTGGTGACACTTGAAACGTTAAATATAATTATATTGTCGCATATTGGGAGAACCATTCAAATTTACAAAAGGCAACTAAAGTATGGTACCTTCTGCTCTTTCATGTCAGTGATGGCCCCGGTATTTCCATCGATGCCAATCCATGCATTCTCTCCATTTGCATGCTATAATTTTCCCAACACAAACATGCCATTAGCCAAAATCAAAATTAATAGAAACAGCACAACAGCATAAACAAAAATTTCTTGTCTTACTTTTCCTTGCAGTGCAGTCATAGTGCGAATCACATTAACCCCACAATTTTGTGCTAAAGTACGGGGTATAGCCTCAAAAGCAATAGCAGCAGCTTCATAAGGCCACTGCCAGCAAGAATCATAGTAATCAGGACTCATGGCCCAGAGTATATCATTTTACGAAAAAAAAAAAAAAAAAAAAATGCTCCATATCAAACGATCTTTAATAGAAGAAACAGCAATGTCACACTCACCTTCTCTATGCCCTCAATGGATGAACTCTTCTGCTTCAAAGCTGCTGACACAGTCAACTCTGTAGCCCCACCTCCAGGAACAAGTTTTGGATTTTTTATAATGTTCCTTGCAACAGACATGGCATCCTGGCATACAAAAAAGCTTCAGAAAGCATTGATGGAAAAAATGCAAGTTCTCATATCATATCTCCGACATCAAACTTACCTGGAGGTTTCTTTCAACTTCATTCAAGAGATCCTTACTGGCACCCCTTAATAGTACAGTACAAGCTTTAGGGTCTTTGCAATCAACAATAAAAGCAAAATACTCATCTCCAATTTTCTTAACTTCAAATAACCCAGCACCAGTCCCCACATCAGACTCCTGTAATTCATCTGGTCTGTTTACAATAACAGCACCGCATGCCCTTGAAATTCTATTATTATCAGTTTTCCTCAGCCTCCTGATTGCACTGACTCCATGCTTACTCAGATAATGACACGCCAAATCACTAAGCCCCTTCTCCGTAATAACCAAGTCTGGTTTAAACTTCAATATTTGCATGCACATCTCCTCGATGTATTCTTCTTCCATCTTCAACAAGATATTCCAGTCTTCTTCCTGAGGAGCTCAGCATTTGTTTGGTTTTCACCCTTTTTATACTCAAGGGGGCAATCCAAAAGAATGATACGTGGATTAACAATCTTTCTCCTCATCTTGCCAGGGGCAACTACATCTTTGTTTATCATAACTCCTTTAAGAACTCTTGAATCCTCCAGCTGACCACCAGGGACCTTTTCAACTTTAATATAATTTTTTATATCCACATCTCTCAAACCTTGGCCAAGATCAATGCCTACCGTTGTGGTAGCATCAATGGCTAAATCCTGCAATTTTACCCAAATATAAGGTAAATGCTGTGGTGTTGCAGATGCCCAGCAGTTATATGCACTCATAACAGCAAAGAGGTTTTTATCTTGTTTGTTCGAACAGAAACAACAAAACTGATTATGAACAAGAAAATATACGAAACAAGGATCATTTTGCAGAACTATTTTCTAGATGTACATGTATTAGCAATTAAGGTTGGAAAAAAATTGTATCATTATAGATGCAAAGCTCTTAAGCTTTACCAACTCACGAAATATGGAGATAATCCCAAACCTATTGTCTCACTAGATGCTAAAATCACAATATGAACAACAAACAAGCAAGTCAAATTCTTTAAGAGCAGGGGAGGGGAAACCGATTGACAATATGACCCACCAACTCCTCCAAAAATTGAGCCTTTTATCAAGGGTTTATACAACAACCATGTGCCAGATTTTTTTTGGGGGAAAAAAGAAGATATTAAAGCAAGAATCAGCTCAAAAATCTAACCCACGTAGATATGATACTCACGGCAATTAAATCTCCAAATTGACTAGTGAATTTGGTACCTATGCAGCTTTTCACTAGGCCTAGCATTGTACCTCCTGCAGCATGATACACCAATAGCATTTAAACTTCACAGCAGTGAAAAAAAAAAACTTCTCCACAAAAAAGATGAATCTTATAGATGAAATCAAAATATTTTTCTTTTAAAGCAAGAAAGTGCACATGAATTCTACGTGTTAAAAGAAATAAGGAAAAAAGGCTATAGACACAAACAAAATTGTGAAATGTATTAATCACAATGAGGTTGACAGGCTCAAAGCAACTGCCTCTAGTGGAAAGGAACAGGAGCACTGCCCTGACAATTACATGCCATTGAATCACAGCAACTAGTTATACTGTAGAGATTCGTCTTGACTTAAGACTTCCAGTCGCAAGGAGTCATGAATAAACCATAACTACAATCATATCCAGTTTATCACCAAATTAGTACAAAGTACATTATGATTTGAGTTGACCCAGTCTCAAATTTAAATTTAACGGATCCTAAAATCAAATATCCAACTCAGTTCGGAACTATTTACACATCTTGTTCATGCAGTGCTTTTGCTACCCGGAAAACAGGTTAGAATTGGAAAAGCTTGGCCAACTATAAACTATCAAAAGCCAATATGAGGAAGAAACAGTCTTAAGAAAGTAACAGTAGCAATTATACTTACGATCCTTGGTGTCAATGGGCATGGCAATTTTGTCAAGCACAGCAATGGCATCCTCAAGAGCTTTGTTATAAGCTGTAGGTCACATGATTATAGGAGTCATCAATCATCATATACAATCTCAGACTTCTGCAAAAGAACAACTTATAAATACTTCTTACCTCGGCAAATGACTGTAGGATGATAATTTTTGTCGATGAATGCTTCAGCAACATGGAGCATCTCACCAGCTATAAAAGTAATTTTATTAAAATAAGAAAAAAAAAACAGAACAAGGCAGCATCTATCCAATAAATCAAAAAAACTCATCCCCTCTATTAGGTACACAATGACAACATAAAGTCCATTCATGACTAATTATTGACAACATAGAAAAGTACTGAAGCTGTTCTGTAGACAAAATAACCTTTTCCCTATTCAATGCCCTAATCACAATAACCAAATAAATGAATAATCCTGAATAGGTCCACAAGACGTATAGTCTAAATAATACTTCACAAAAAGATTAAATCAAATAAACTTAAATTTTAAAACCTACCAAGAATGATTACAGAAGTTGTTCCATCTCCTACTTCTTCATCTTGAGTGCGACTTAATTCTATCATAGACTAAGCAATTCCAATAGAAGAACAATGTCAGAAAGTTTCAATCAGAGTGTAGCAGTAGAAATGAGTGTGACAAATACCAATGAAGCAGAGCAAGAGAAATAAACCATACCTTAGCAGCTGGGTGAGCAAGATCTAATTCACGCAAGATAGCATTTCCATCATTAGTCACCACAATTCCTGTAAATTAAAAAGAAAAGAAACTATGCCAGTGAGACGTGTCACACGCTATTAAAAAGCAATTTACAACACAACCTAAGCCACAGGAAGGCCATGAAAAATTTTTAATGATCCAACACAGTTAAAAACACTAAAATAGAATCCAAGAAAGTGTTGGTTAAATTAAGCAGTTACTTCAGGTTACTATAACCAAGAAAAGGATCACTTTCTCAAGCAATGGAGGCATAAATCATATAAGCAGATATTTGGCCTCATGAACAAATGCAATAAATACAAGTTCTCAATTATCTGTAAGCTCCAACATGATTAGAAAACAAAACCCTAACCTCCACTAGCATCAAGTAGCATTTTCAACATGGACCTGGGTCCCAAGGTAGTGCGAATTATGTCAGCAACAGCCTGGCAAGCATTAACAATATATTCACAGCGTTAAATCACAACCAGAGTCTAGGCAGTAATAAACTATGTAATAAAGGCCACATCTATTGAAAATTCAAAATTTTCAGGCAAATTCAAGTTATTAATCATTGGAAGATCCAGTATTACATTATAGAGAAAGACCATAACAAAGGAAAAGAATATCTGAAAAGAAGCAAGATAAAACTGTGTTCAAGCTTTGAAACCATGGTTAAATAACATGTAGAGTTAACATCTGCAAAGAAGCAATGCCCGAAACCTAAATGAAATATCAACTAAAACTCTTGAACACTTTTCCATAGCGTGACCTTCCAATGCAACAAGATACTAAACACATTTTCAGCATCTTATAGGCATAATTGTCTTCCCTGAATATCAAACAAGATGGATATAGAAATATAGTACCAGAAAATCTAGTCCTCCAGCTCCGTGAGTTTGCAAATTATACTCTTCAACAAATATGGTTTTATATTTTTATATTGATATCAGGATTTCACCAGAAAGAATGACCAAAGTAAGGCCACTATAAATTTTGATGACAATATAGAGCGGAATATAATGTTCTTCTATGAGACATGATAATTAAGGAGATTTAAGCACTCAAACAGCAATTCTCCAATGCATCCCAAGGGTAGAATGCCACTCTTAAGCATGTCCCTGTGACTTGATAATTAAATTTATCAAAAATGAACTAGCTTCACGCCTTAAAAAAAAACAGATCATCAAAATTTGTAAACATAAAAAACAATCTGAGATACCATCTCCATCAAGTGAACATGTTTGCTTTTAGGTGATAGAAAACAAATAGGAGTTTTCACCAGAAGATAACAGACGAGATTTTATATATATATATATATATATACTTATTTTGAAGAGTATAGCAATTAAAATAAAACCACATCCGATTGCAAGGATACCAAACAGAGCAGCTTCTAAAACATCTAATTTCCTGCCTAGTGCACAATAAACAAATTAAAATTACATAGAATAAGAAACGACTGGACTCCCCTCAAAGTAATGTCTGTGGCCAACATAGGAGGGATGAATAATCACAAATTTTACATTATTCCAAGTAATTGAGTTCAACTATGTTACTTCTTTCTCAAAAATGAAACCGAAAAGTAAAGTCATTCCCTCTTGCAAAATGTCATTAAGCAATCCATCAGCTAAAGATGTAAGCTACTATATAAAACAGTTTTGAACATAAGACTACCAATAATGGGAGCGGTAGAGCACAGAAAAAACCCAAATGAAGCGGTACCAAAATTATTACCTTTGATGCCTGAATATTAGCATGTTGCACCTTACTTCCAGACTCCCGTTTCAAAGAGTCCTCTGTACATATTCAAGAGGTACTTGATGAGTCAAACAGAACAACGAACGTTCATAAAAAATTTGGACACACAGAAATTGGTGGCATTGGTGCATTGCTTCCAATAACAATCCAAACAATATGAAACAAATCTTGAACAGATCAGTGAATGGCACTTGACGTTCAATATTGTCATCAGTCGGCGAGAGAAAGAGAAAGAAATGACTCACTGAGGACTAGAACCGGCGCGTGCATGATTCTTTAAGTATGAGATACTGCTCGAAACTCTTTGTATGCACAATTAAACTCTGAAGTGGTAAAGAAGATCCTTGGGACTCTAGGTCCACACTGCTCACCAATTAAAAATATTAGCAAGTTGTTAGAACTCAAATATTTCCATAAGCCCATAACCAAGTTAATAACTGTAGTAAATTCAAATATCAGCCGAGTATGATCCTGAAACGCGCTAAACAAGTAAAACTTCAAATCCCAAACACACGCCTCTTCCCTCCAACGCTCGACTGCAGAGGGGACTGAGCGCTGGATGCGCCGCTCCAAGCCGCGAGGCGAACCGGGAAGTGCAGCGAGCGACCAAAAACTTTAACGCACGGGTTGAAATGGAAATGGGAGTTACCTGATGTTGATCGGAGAATGGGAGGTGGTGCAGTGTTCGGAGTAGATGGGTTCAGACCGCAGAGGCAGACGGGCGTGCTAGGGCAAACAAGAAGTGATCAGAGGAGGTGAGAGTGAAATGCCTCCAGTTGAACAGCAGAGAGGCTTCTAGTCCGCCAAAACGTGCGAGAAAACCCTCGAACGCCGTGGTGCTTTCTTCGTTTCCATGATTTTCAATTTCCAAAACAAAAAAACAAAAACAAAAACACAAATATTAATTCGGAACAAATATTAACCTGTTTTTTATATGGTTCCGCGAGAGAGTCACCTTTGAGTACTGGGATTAATTGGAGTGGCTCTCCAATAGTGATATAAACTTCTCATGACTATTTAAAATTAAAATTTGACAAAACCTTATTTCTTTTATTTAAAATATAAAATATTTTTAACTGAATTTCACTCATTAATAAAATAATTACATACTTTTCAATTAACCCTAACTTTTCATATTTACCCCTATTGAATACCTTACAATAAATAAAATTTATTATCAATAAGAGCACTTTTAAAAAAAGTGATTACACCTTAAAGGGCTAAAAATGCCTTATATTTTTAAACGAAGGGAGTATTCATTTTTATCATAATATAAATTATTATTAATTAATTTATATTTTTTAAAAACTTAGTTAAAATCTTGATTTCTGTACATTTTCACATATTCTTAATTGTACATATAATAAATACAACATTTAATTTATTCAAAACACTATCATTAATTATTTAAATTTAGTATAATAAAGTGAAAGTGTAATTGGAAAGACTTATATAAAACCTAGGTATAATTGGAAAGACTTATATAAAACCTGCCTAATAGGTCCATAACCTATATTTTGGACCAGCCATATTTTTAGAAAATACTCTATATTATTATCCGGAGCTTGTTTTCAATTCAATCAAGATATGTATATATTTTTATATAATTATTTGATAACAAACTCTTTTTATTAATATTATTAACACTTTAAATCTACTTATTTTGATTTCTTTGGATAAACATATATTAAGAATATAAAATATACTTTAAATCTTTTGCATATCTTCAGCATTTTTGTTCAATAATATGTTTATAGGTTTTGAGGAATTAAAACACTTGTCGGTAATAGACACATGACAAGTTGTTGTTAACCTTTTTACAGAATGTGATCAATGGTAATCCTATTTTCTTATATGTTGTATCCTCAAGTACACTCATGAATGCTCTAGGTTGCAAGATGAAACTGGGGAAAAAGTCTCATTAGTAAGTATATTTAAAAGATACCTTATTATTAAGGGGAAATTTCAATAAGGGACTCTTGACTAGAAATAATAAAAAAGATGACCCTAAATTTTTGAAATTTTAGTAAAGGAACCATACAAGATTTCATTCGAATTTGTGACAAAAATGATAAAATTACCTTTATTTAAATAAACAACATAAATGACTTATTCGTTTTCATATTATATGTTATTCATTTATTCATGGAATGTTGTTGATTTTCCTGCTTTACTTGTTTATAGTCATGCAGAGAAACGAACAACATTCCATAAGTAAATGAACGACATACACTATGGGAATGAACAAGTAGTTTTATCATGAAACCAACATTTGGAATAAGTTTAAGTAAAACTAAGACTATAAATAAGCGAAATAAGAAAACTAACAACATTCCAAAAGTAAACAAACAACAAACAATATGAGAATGAACAAGTCGTTTATATTGTTCTTTTAAGTGAGGATAATTTTGTCATTTCTGTCACAAATTTGAAAATAATTCCATACGAGTCATTCAATGAAATTTCAAAAAATCTTGGGTCCTCTTTTTCATTATCTTGGGTTAAAAGTTCCCACCTAAAATTTTCGCTATTATTAAAGTGTATATGAGGAAAAAAATGTAATCTTTATAGTATTGGTTATACAAATGGTGAAAAATAAAAAATACTTTTTAAATCACTGAAAATGAGAAAATCAATACAAGGAAAGTTATGGTTTGAGAACTTAATCGAATTGTTACTCATAGAAAGTTTCATATCATAATAATGATGATGTTGTCAAGAATTATGATTCTATTTTGTGAAAAAATTTGGCTAGCTTGTGGCTAAAGATTTTAGATAATGTTGTGTGGGAATGTAGGAGGGTAAAGAAATAAATTTATAGACTGATTTTTGGCTAGATAATGGGTGCCCTTTATATCAAAGGGCGTTGAGAAGGCCAAAAGGAAGGTTCGTTGAATGTAATATTGTTGACCTGGTTGATGAAAGAAAGGAATGGGAGTTGCTGTACTTAAAAGACTACTTATTTGAAGTTGATACACTGAAGTTACGAGCCATAATTCCAGCTATGGCTAGAAATCAAAGTGACAATATTATATGGATAGGGTCTATGAGAGGTTTGTATGTTGTGGCAGATATATATATATATATATATATAAGAAGATTATATGAGAGGTAGATGTTGAAGATAAGGTTGTATGGAAGAAGATTTGGAAGTAGAAGAGACCTAGAAAAGTATAGGTTTTTTATGGTTGGCAACTCATGATAGGTTATTCATTTCTATTAAAAGGGCAAGAATAGTGGGTGGTTCCTCAATATGTAGTAATGAGCGTGTAATGCATGTTTTAAGAGATTGTGAGGGGCACAGAAGGTTTGGAGGGCTTTGAGAAGGGAGAAAGTATCTAATTCCTTTTTTGTGTGGCAAGGAAAGGAGTAGATTTTAAATAATTTGAATAAACAGGAGATTGGGGACTAGTGTTTGCTATCGCTTGCTGGCGGTTTGTGGGGTGGCATTGGAGAAACAGTCACCATTTGAAGAGGGATTTCAAATGTTTGAGAAGCCTAAGTTGATTATAAACAAATATGTGCGTGAGTGGAAGCACTTGACTAGTTTGTTTGGTTGACCTAGCATATGTAGACAAGAGGTGTCAATGGGTTGGGTGAAACATGAGACTAGTTGGATCAAGCTCAACTTTTATAGAGCTATTAATTTGATTGAATCAAATACTGGTTGTGTTGGGTTACTTAGGGAAAATGATGAAAATTGGATATATGGTCATGCCAAGCGTGTGGGGTTTTGTTTAGTGGTTATGGCAAAGTTGTGGGGTGTGTTGTGGGTTAAGGTGGCTAAAAGAAGGAATGTGTGTAGGTTGATTATTAAAAGGGACTCCTTGGCTATTATTAGTATGCTCAAGGGGATAATGGTTGATGGCTTAGATAGAAATAATATAATGAAAGTGATTAAAGATCTACTTTGTACAATTGACGGGTACAGATACAACATATTTATAGAGAAGGAAGTACTTATACTCACTAGTTAGCTAGTGTTGGTCCTTTGTAGGATTTTAATCTAAAAGAACTTGTTTTTTCCTCTTACTGGTATAGTGATACTTTGTACAAGGATGAAATGGGCGTAACTATCCCACGTGAAGTTTTAATGCAACTCAATTGAGGCTTTGCCCTCTTTGCTTATCATCCTCATCGTCATCATCTACAACAACAACAATGCGAGTGTTGTGAGACGATGGAATGTAAAAATCTCCCCCGTTTGAGGCAAAGGTAATAAACATGCAAATTGACTTGCAATTTGGAACTTCCTCCAAACTAATGATGTGTTTATAGCTAGTGAATGAACCTTAAAAGGGTCTGTCCTATGTTACACAAAATATTTTTATAAAATATTTGGTAGTGGATGAGGTATTTTAATCACTAGCTTAATAAGTGAATTTTAAAGTATTAGTGTCCAATTGTGCAACAAGACTTTCAATGTGGCATTTTTATGGTATCAAGTGTGGCAAAGTAAAGAAGTCGAAGAGAATATTTGGGCTATTAAAAGTTCTTTTAGTTTAATTCAATGAAGTTTTTCTATTTTTATTGATTTTTTGTATTTTATTTTCATGTGTTTTATTTATTTATTATTTTAAATTTAATAGCCTAGTATGGGCTTTTGGGTTTAAACTATTTATTAAAGTTTTTATGTTAGGATTTTAGAGAGTAACAATTGAGTTACGAGTATTTTTATTTCTTTAAGTACTACTCATATGCAAACAGCACATAGAGCGAACATATAGAATAAAAAGTTATCTCTTTTTATCAAGTTTTACTTTTTTATTAGTGTTCAAAGTTTAATACCATGTGGCTTTTTTGGTTATTGTGGCATTGATAGTTCCTCATTTGAGATATCATAGGTGCAATTCTAGCTCTTTGTGTGGGTGTTTTCAATTAATGTGTTCTCCATGAAATAATATATCGTATATAAACCTCCTTCAAACCAATCATGTTCACGTATGGCTAATGTATGGAACTCCAAAAGTTCTTTTCCATGGTACCTTGAAAATTAGTTAAGGGCAAAGCTAGGTGCATGTCAAGGGGGCTGCTTGTCCACCCCTATACTATATATAAGAGTGTGTTTGGGAATTTAAGATTGAATGAAAATGAATGGTTATTAATAGAATGGAATGGAGTGGAATGGAATAAAACAACATTTTTCATTGTCTGGGAGTTTTATAATGAGAAGAAATAGTTTTGCATGATCATTATTTGGGAGTTATCATAAAATAGATGGAACGGAATGAATTAAAACTTTTTTTCCTATGTTACACAAATGACTAAATTAAAAAATAATAATACTCATTAAATAATTATAATATTGTCCAACAAAAATAATAATAATTGAAATTAATGGTAAAACAAGATACCTAAGAATTAAGAATGAAAAGAAAAGGTGAGTAATAGAACTACTCAAGTAAACATACATGTTGTGTAAGAGGAAAACACAATGAAGTTGTAGTGCTGAAAGGCAAGGGGGGAGAGAGATGGTAAGACTAAAAGAGATATAGTAGAAGATATGGCTGTACAATTTCTCAGGATATGAGAAGAAGGAATAGAAAAAGGTAAATAATGATGATAATGAAACTACATAAAAGAAGGCTACAGATTGTAATAATGAGTAAAGCACTTTTTGGTAGAAATTATGGGGGATGTGAGTGAGACAATGTCTAATTGACTATTTTTATTTTGTCAGGTAGGGTTTTTATAGGTTATCAGTGGCGACAATAGAATCATAATATCATCTTTTGCTATAAGTGACTTTCATATATTTTTTCTGTTTATTTTTTTTTTTGCGTAATGGAATCTCATATGAATATTGGTGAAAAAACATTATTGTTATTTGTTAAAGA